TGCTCTTGGGGACATCATAATAGTCACTCCACAACTCAGAGTGCTCGTGGTTGTCGTCTGCTTGACAATATCGGAGTAGATTATTGACTCTCCAGTTAACAGTTTCGAGAATCCTCTTCCATTCCATCTGCAGATTCCTCACAGATTCCTAACACACACCTTCCACACCTTCTCATCGCTCCTCCAATCTGGCCAGCCTTCCTAGGTTTATACATGGTGCCGACATTCCATATCCCCATCCTTACTTTTGCTTCCATCCAGAGAGAGGAGACACATCGGCCAATTGCCTTTCAGAAGGCTTTCACCAACTGGCGTCTCCCCGATTCCATAGAGGAATGAGCTTATTTTTACTTTTCGTATTTTCTTTGTGCTTAAAAGTTTGTTTAGCAATTGGATTGGTTTTACGGGGTAGGGTTGCCAGCCGTGTGCACAATCTTCCCCCTTCATCCGTGCTTAGGTCCGGTTAGTAACTAGTAGAGTACTTGATCTTGCGAGGGAACTCATCCCCATAGCACATTTTTCACACCTCAGTTATTCGCTCCGAGTCAAACCGTTCGTCACTGTGATCGTTTCCGTGGTGACAGAATATCAACGGCAGGCACTGATTTATCGACATATAAAAAACAAAAGAAGGATAACACAGAAGGCAGATAACCAAGGTTAATTCGTGCATCGCAAAATGTTGAAGAATCTTCCATATATAACTGGGCAGTTTGATCGAATGACCCTGTCTACAAGCCTAGGGCAAATTGTTCAAATACTGCAACCCGGTTTGCCGTTTAAAAACAACTGTTTCGAGGTAGAAATTTAGCCCCGTGATTTCCTTCGTTTTCCGAGGATGAAATCAATTGTTTTTGTGATCAAATTGTTGTGGCTCATAGTGCTACCAGTCACACGAACATGCGTCGTCAAAGTGTTCACTGTTAGAGAGTGTGAGTACATCTTTCTCACCACGGCTAGAACCAAAATTCACAGTGAAATTCGCCCACAAAATTAGTTTGCTAAGTGTTTGCGAAAATCTACAGTCCTATTTGAAGCTGTTATCGTCTTCGTCTGAGACCAAAATTGTTTCCTGACTAAGCAGTAAAGCGAGACTAATAATAATGATATTCATTTCTGAATATGCAGGCACACACCATTTTTGCAGGCATGAATAGGTTTATATATGGCTTACATGTATCTTCGTGGGAGGCAATCTTAATAACTACCCGTTGTCACCAGAAGATATAACTGCTGCATGTTCATTTAATGGAACATTCCAACAGAATGAGCGCGCAAAAATTTACAAGTTGGACAAGTGGAAGCGTTGTCTCTTCCAGGTTTGTATCTATACATTACATGCATTACCTGGAGAAAAGTGAAGCTTGAGGCTAATACTTCCATTGGAACGGTCTGTACATTTTTCCTGAGATAATGATGAAACGTTTATGAATTCTTTACATATTGTGCTTCATTGATGATTCCAGGACCGTATAACTCATGCATGTTAATACCATTCCACGACAAAGATTCATAATCTTGACGAACATTATGACTGAAAGCTAAATGTCTTCACTTTTCCAACTCCAGCATCCAGAAGCAATGGACTTATTTGAATGCACCTATTGGACCTCCAGAACATCTTGTCCTTCGTTTTCACGGGTTATGACAGCCTTGCAGTTGGTAAGTGTTGGACTTTGCTGGTCACTTTTACAATGAGTAAATCCTAGATTTTGATAATCATGAAGTTGTACTCCAGTGGACATTTTTTGCTTCTGCTTGTTGCAGCTAGGTATTCTGGGCTTGGCAAAGCTGGTTACCCCCCATGAAGGGTAGTTTCAGTCATGGTCTGTTCCTTAGATAATAACTTCTTGACGACAACAGAGCCAACGTTTAGAACTGAATTATTTTTCTACAGCGACAAAAAACAGACAAAGCACCAGGCAGAGAAAGCAAGAATTCCAACAGGGAGAGTGTTTTCTATGCTCATGTTTCTCTCTACTTAACTTCCCTTGCTGTGGCTCTCACTGTATATCCTTTTTCTATAGAGTATTTAAAAATATAAATTTCATGCTGTCGTGTGGTGTAGGATTTCTGTTTTTGATTGCCGTGTTGGGTGGAGTGGAATGTGCCGTTAGTTCCAGGTGGTAACTTATGGAAGTCTCCTCAACGCTTCATATGAAGGGTTAGTGATGTGTGGTGGCTGTCTCATTATACATTAGGAAGGAGAGAGTCGTGAAGGAGACTATTTTTCGTTATGGAGACAGGGACGTCATCAGACATCGTGAACCAGGGAATATCATTGATTAACATGACCTAGTCCTGAGGGGACAGGCAAGTCAAAGAAGGCATAGGGTTGACCATCAACGCTGCCACAGACCTTAAAGTCGAGTAAGCCAATAATGATGCGTTTAGCTAGTTACCTGATTCCTCAGGGTGCTGTTTCACCGCGCAGCAAGCAGAGTACCGTCCAGAAGTATCATGCTGACCCCCTCTATGTACAACAGAGAATAAGCCGTAACTGCTAACCGCGATTTCGACACCCGCCTGAGTAGCATGCAGCCAAGTAGTTCGCGCTAGAGACATAGACACATGGAATGTTAAGCAAGCTGTGGACGTAAATATTTTGGGCGCAGGCTTTAAAACGTTTATGGCGGTTGGACCAGTGGAGAATTTGAGGAGGACACCTGACGGGAACCGGATGGAAAGGAATCACGACTTGACAACCTTCTAACAGACAATGACCTCTTTGCGAACATTAGCTGTGCTCAGCCCCTCCGTCCAGGGCAAGTTGGATCACGTGTTGGCGAGATTTCCTTTGATAACCAAGGAGAAACCACCGACAGTTGAACAAGAAGCGTGCAGTCGCCACTGAAAGGTAGACTACCAGTTCATGAATAACGAACCCCTGGAGGCTTCAAAGCCCCAAAAATGGCACTCTCCATCGATGGACGAACACTGGACGCATGTTTAGGATGCCATCTGAAGCGTTGTCGCTGGACGTATCAAAATTAACCAGACGGCCTCATCTCAACCAGTCCTGGGGTACCCCACGGAACCCGGACGGGTCTAGTGCGCTTTCCTGGCACAGAAATGCAACTAGGGCTAAAATAAATAGGTTAAATTAAATTAAATGAACGAACCTCTAGCTCGTCTCCGGATCCTTAGGGTGTTTTAAGAGTGTTTTAACGAGCATGCATCCATACAGGCTTCGACCCCATTTTGCTCCCTCTCTGTGCTGGTTACCACTCATGTACCAGGAGTCCCTGGTTCAGTCATAATAGCCAGATAAGTTGGATAAACGTTTCCCTCATTAATTACCGTTACATTTATTCTAATCAAGTATACTACTTCCTTGGATATATTCCTGAAACCAGTTCTTTTGATCCACGTTTCGTTATCACTGCTTACGCGTTAGGTAGGTACTGGTTAGGCAGGTACTAGAGCACATCAAGTCAAGTTGGGTTGGTTAAACGTTACACGCTAGTAATACAACCAACGTACACCCGACAGGCAGGTACAGTGAAAGCAGGAGGCGTGGTCTAGTCGGTGCACATCACACAATCAATCAGACGTTTTTAGCCACAATTAGTTGCGCAAACTGTGGGGTATAAGTGTTCGCAATAGTGGTTACAAACACCAAAGTAACCTGGCCAAACGGTTAAGCTGCGTTTCGGAAAGCTTATGTCAGTTTATGCCACAACGAATACGGATGAATAAAGGCTTAAACCTGGTCATAGATCCAAACGGAGAACCTTTGAATGTCAGTGAGGTAGCAGAACTGATGAGTTGCTGATTTGACAAGTAGCTCAAAACTATGATGCATCCACCAGCAAAGTCCAGTAACGTGACAAAGTTCCAAGACCGCTGATGAGCGTGAAGATTCCATCAAAACAAGTGTTTCTGAAACTTTCAACATCGAGAATAGGGAGATCTGCAGGCTGTGACGACATCAGAACGGTGGTCCTACCGAGTTGTCTCAAAGTTCTGTGCATACTTATATGCAGTCTGTCCACATTTTCGTTGGAAGTGTGCCAACCTCCCGGATAACGAAAGCAGTCTCTTCTCGCTAACCTTCATGGGAGGAGACGGGGAAAACCCATGCATCCGCAGACCAATAGGGTCACTTCCCATACCATCCAAGAAACCGGAAAACCCGGTTGCGGGTGATGTTAGGAGATACCTGAACGGACCTAACCGGTGCGGCATATACGCAACGCCACCAAGAACTCAGCTCGTCCAAATCGGGCTTCCAAAGGAAAAGGGACGACTTAATAGCCGTCTGCAAGATTATTCATGGAGCCGACCAGCCCGACAGGTCAACATTGTGGGTCAAAAACCAACAGTCTTGCATACTTCACCATAGGGTACCTTAAAGAAAGCCCTGATGAGAAAAGTGGCCACAGGTACATAAGTTGACTCCTTCAAGTGGCTGTTGTATCAGCACGTGAGCTCAAACTGTTTACCGCAGACTTTCGTGAGTGCCAACTGAAAGTATGCTAATCCGTCCCTGTATTTAACAGCCCTAGTGTTTACAATAAGACGCATCCCTTTTCCATACTCCTACCAGTGAAGCTTATTTTTCCACAAGTACTTTTCACTCCTCTTTTTCTCATTCCCTAATCACTCTGTTGCTAACAATACTTTTTAAGTAACACTTGAAACTTGCGCATGCTTGCAAAAACAGGGACCACAGAATAATAGCCGATCTAATCAACAGCCGCACTGTCCTCCAAAACAAACCAAACTGTTATTTTCAAAGAAATACCTCCAAATAAACAATCACTACTTCCAAAGCTATAACGAGAAATAAAGACTTCTAGGACCACCAAGGAAGTATAACCAAACAAAAATCCCAGGAGCGGGAACTCACAAACTACCAGTTTTATCTACTCGTACTACTGATGTTGGATACTACGTACTTGTTGTTGGATGAAATTTATTTCTGCTGAATGTTCAGTAGACGCGAGATATCAAAAACTACCAGTTTTCTACGCTAACACTATCAATATTGGATATTGGATATCCCTTCAAGGTAACCCGCTCCTTATGGTGTCGGGTCATAACTTCCTTATTCTGACTAGTGGGTGAGTAGTTTTACTGGTTTGCCGGTAATTATCATAGTTTTTCGAATTTCATCCTTGAAAGCAGTGTAATTTTATATGAGTTCCAGTTTACATTGTGCTTCACGTAGTAACACACCTAACATAAATGCTAGTCCAATGTTGTAGGGAAGACGTGAGGAGGTCAGAAAGGATGTCAGATGGCCCTAGTTTCACCGCACATTACTCACCTTCTAAGATTTAGTCCTGCCTTCCACCAGCACTCCTTGCCTGTATGACCACGTTTTTCACCCCGATGCATATGCATCTACCCATCTGGGTAGATGTCTTATTGGGAACTGGATCCCTGTAAGGAATTCTGCGTCAATCTTCGGTGAGAGGAATAGCAGGCCACTAATCTGTGTTTACTGTGGCACCTTTTACTCCCTCTTTACGTTGACACAGGTTGACAACCGTAAAAACTAGTGATCCATGGATTCTGGACGTGAAAGTTACTGTTCCGTGAACAACCATTGAAACCCAGTTCTTCCTGAAATTTGTTCCCAAAAAGAGCCAGTATTAAGTTTTTTGGCAAGGAGTTTCACTCGTCAACCACTTTATAAGGGACGATTTTCCAATCGAAGACGCTTCTACCACAGCTTTTGGATATTCTTCCTGAGAGAGAGAGTTAAGAAATCACTCAAACCATAGTTCAAGTTGCAAAAGATTCCTCACGTGTAACTAAGAAGTAAGAAGAAAGTAGTGAGTGCTGCTTTGGAATTATCTTTGAGAATCCTTCTTGATAAACCCACTTCTGTTTCGGTTTTTCACTCTTCCGTTTTCATTGTCACGGTTAGGCTTTATTGTTTTGCATTCCATATCTCTTGACTCCAGTTTTGTAATAAGTTTGTGGTTTATTGACAAATAACTCAAGGCCACTATTAGATTATCCCATTCTCCTGTTTTAAGAGGTGTAGCCTTGCTTATGGCTCTTCCCAGTGTAAGTGCATGAAACCTGCTACTATAGCCATTCTTATGCTTCAGCTTCTTAGCAAAAGATTCATACAATGCTTTAAGAGGGATCTCTGGATAAATTGAGTATAAATCCTAAACGTAGCTTCATCAAGGCATCTGTATACTCTTCAATGCTACCAAAGCACGTGATGCGCCTGAACTAAAGTAGCACACCATTTTGAAGTTGTGGCTTACAGTAACCTCTCAGTTTCTTCTGAAACTCGAGGTATTAGTAAGCCATTCATTGAGCTTACTTCAGAGATGTTCTCAACGTTTATTACCGCACTTCTGCTGAAGTTGTTTTCCATGCCCCATAGTCTTGACCATTCAAACTGTCAGTATCCGTTTGAATTGAAAATCTTTCATCAGCATCATGAATGATTTTCCATATCTTGAGGTCATCAACGAATATCAGTGTCGATGACTCGGGGATCTTCGGTATTTTGTTGATATAAATTAAGAAGAGTAGTGACCCAAGGATAGCACTTTATGGAACACCAATGTCGACAGCTTGCTCCTCAATATCTGATTCACTTCAAATCTTTTCCCTTATTGACAAGATTACCTAATCTTAACGAGCATTCCAATGGCAATACTAAGTTTATCAAGCTTCATCGACCTTATGTGTGACTTATCAAAATCCTTGCTGAATTCAATAAACACCACAACCATAGGGAGTTTATTATCCCTAGGTTTTGGTTTGTCTAAAAAGAGCGTTCAGTACGGTAATCGTGCCGCCACTGTGTAAATAAATTTATGTTTGTAGATGACCGAATTATTTATCACGCAGTATCTTCTCCATTACCCCAATCATGATACTATTAAGGCCAGTAGGTCGATAGTTTGTGTTTATCTATTACGTTTGAACATTAACTATGACGTCCTAATTCTTAGGTCATGCCTGAGGTTGAGAAATGTTGATTAGTACGCTCACGAGGACATCATTATCAGCCAAACGTAGCAGTACCCGAAGGGTGTAGTCCACCATGGGCCGGTGGCTTTCCAGGTTTTAGATTTCTGAGCAGTAAAAGAAATATCTACTCTGTGATTACAATGAATCCCATTAGAATCGCGCTGGAAACAGTATCAGAATCCAGAATCCCATTAGTAATTTCAGTAGGAAATACGACTGAACCTTCCCTTTTAGCTAGGTGCGATTCCACTGCGTCCTTCGCATCATCAAACGGTAAAAAGCGAAATTCCCTTACTCCTTTTACAGCGTCTCTTGATATGGGAAAGCAGAAGCTCAGGGCAGCTCAGTCATCCACTAATAATGTCTTGTATTGTATGCAGTGTACACTGCTGACAGATTTGCATTTATTTCTGACCTTGAGGTATTCCAGACTTAATAGTTCGCTTCCTGTCGCAATGAATAGACGTTATCGTCGTTTTAATAACCGTTGCGTGTGTATGTCAACCCGATGGTATGTGAGTCGTTTGAGGAATAAACCAAAAAAAATAAACGGTTATGTTACGTCATCAAACATCTTAAAACCTAATCCAACCTTCCTCACGGAACAGCCTACATCAAGAGACCAGTTAGTTGAAATGGTATGGTTCCTACTCGTTTACACGCTCTTGTGCCAAACATTTTGGTGAGGTGTAACCCATTCATAAATCAAATAATGCTTTCTTAGCTTAAACTTAATTACAGCATGATCACTATTAGTCAATATGGATAGGTGTCTTAGTTCTGCCACATACCGACATCGATATGCACAGACTAAGCCAAACAATAACGGCCATGCGTTGATTCATAGCGGGGAGGACAATTTGCACTTTCAACAATTATTCACTGGAAGGCGGTCAAGAGCAGATTGTTATCGAAACATCCACCTGACTCAATGATGGTAGTTAACATGTCTTAAGGCCTCCTGCGATGACGTTGATTGCCGTTGCCTCACTTGCGTGTATAATTTGGCAAACGGTCATCGGCAACTCAATTTGGACCATGATTAATTACTCCTGTAGTCACAATATCGTGCTCGAATGTCTTTGAAAGTAGCAGTATCACACTTGGTACTGAAGTGCTCCTCAGAAGGAGTCGAGCGTATCCATAGGTCCTCTTGAATATGCAGGATTATGTTATCACTCTTACTAGCTGACTCTCTGTCCTACTACTTGCATCACATTTTGTAACTGGAGGTATAATCATACATCTGGTTTCGAGCACTCACTTAGGTCGTCTAGCTCGGATATTTATTCCTGAGAGTACGGGGATACTACAAAGCTGGTTATACAGACGTCATCACCTGAAATTACTGCGTAACAGTTCAAGTTGCAATACCCCGTCAGCATATCACGCGAGGAAGTACTGATATGAAGAATAAAGAAGTAAAGAAGAATCGGTCTAAAGCAGAAGAATACAGTATAAGAGAGGAAGGAGGGGTAAGAAAATACTGAGTTGAATATGGTAATTAAGTTGAGAATAATGTGTAGATACACCTACGCCATTAAAATGCATCCTGATTAATGTCATCTAGAATTACTGTCGTATAGGAGTCTACATTTCCCGACATGACTCAGACCAATAGCTAAAGACTTCAGTGACTGGTGCTATTTTTTAGTCTGGTCACTAACCTCCCGACCGATAGCTGCTACCTTGACGTGGTGGTCGGGCTTGCATATCACAATGACCCAACGAGCTATGCTGGTGGAACGCTTGTTCCCTCGAGGTCCTACCATACCAGAAAGGTCTGTTGGGTAGTGGTTAGACGAAAAGCAGTTACCGTCATAGTGTAAATTGCTATACTATGATGGGGGTCTGAGGGCGAAGTCGTACTGCTGCTAGCTGGATGGGGTGTGACAGCAGTAAGGTGTTTCCCTTGGATGACCAGCAGTGCCAAGCTGATGCTGCCTTCTCAGTGGAAGGGGGGGTTAGAAAAGGTCGGCCCCAAAAATAACACACTCCACCACGCCCCACGGTCTGCCGGGCCGGCGGTGTTGGTTCACTTGTCGTTTCCTTTCGCTCATCCGGCCCCAAAAATATAAAAATTCAAAATAATCATACTCAAAAGGCTGGGTGTGACAGGCCTCAAGCAGATGTCCGATGGGCTCTGCGGTCACACAAATCTCTTTCAGGTACCTTAAGAAGAAATAGCCTTCCACGGTGTGGGCAGCCGGGAAGTGTCAACCGCCCTCACAACTCTGTCAGCACCCAAGTTTCTTCTGACTGCTATCCTCCTCCTCCATCATTACCTTCTAATCTTCCTTCACGTCTCTTAATTAATGATGCTGCATCATCTTCAATTTCTCCTACCTCTGCAGCCTTCGACAACGATCTGAGTCCACAGAACAGTGTCCCTGGTCTCCTTAAACCACGCTCCAAATTACATATTGGAGCCTTCAATGTCCGCACCCTCCGTCAAATTGGCCAACAGGCTTCGTTGGCAAAGACTCTAGCAACTCGGGCATGGATGTGTGCTGTGTTTGTGAGACACGCATACAGGACCCAAGTGTGGTTATTCACCTGACCTCTCCTGACCAATCTGGTGAATCTGCAAAATTCACCCTTCGAGTTTCTGGAGATTCGATAGCTAGCTCTCGTGGTCTTGCAGGTGTAGGTATAGCATTAAGCACCAGGGCAGAAAACTCACTACTAGACTGGATCCCAGTTGATAGTCGCCTCTGCGCTATGAGGCTGAACGGCACAGTGAGAACTAAAAGGAATAGTGAGACTCGCCGTTGTCTCTTTGTAATCTCTGCTTACGCACCCACTGACTGTAGTTCGGATGAAGTGAAGGACGAGTTCTACCATAAACTGTCTAACCTCCTCTCGAAAGCCAAACGTTCGGACGTAGTGGTTGTTGCAGGTGACCTCAACGCACAGGTGGGTAGACTGAGTGAGGCAGAAAGGCACTTAGGTGGCACTTTCGGAATCCCAGCTGAACGTACAGATAACGGTGATCGCCTATTACAACTATGCTCAGATAACCGCCTATTTTTAGCCAGCACAAATTTCAGACATAAAGAAAGGCACTGTCTGACCTGGCGTCCACCGAGCTCGACTCAGCGATGGACACAGATAGACC